GGGCGCTCGGGGGGGGGGGATTAATATAACAAATAAACAAACAAACATGCAGCATAAATCGCATTCCCTTCGAGGAAACAACCTAGAACGATTGTTATGAATGAACCTCTTGCCAGTTCTGCCAACAAAAACTATTTGCATCACAGACAAATTTCTCTCTATCTAACGACCGAGCAGAGCTGTTTTATAACAGCGGATATTACCATTTGCACATAAGCTCAGTTAATGGCAGAGAGAGAGAGAGAGAGAGAGAGCTTACTGCTAATGGGATTTTCAAGGCGTGTTGGCTGGACAGCGCTTAAGGACAAAATCCACGACTCAGTGGACTCCTTTTCATTGTTACGTCGAATCAATTGAGTGACGAAGACTAAGACGACCATGGGTATTAAACAGAACAAAAGCGATTCACGGAGCGCCACGTAACTTAAGCCCGGGAGATTCCATATATGATAAAAGCAAAATCCGCTTGTGATAGAATCACATGAATATTCTGTTTTCCAGCCCAAATTACCGATAAACACAAACAAGAGTACAAACCTCTGGATACAACAAAAGCACGTGGCAATCCCCGATGTCTATGAGAAATCTTATTAATCTGACGGACGCTGTGAATAAATCAGACCTCTACGTAACAATGAAAGACAGGATAATTAATTTATGTTAATTATAAATAATATTAAACTATGCAACATAATTCAAATATCAGGACTCAGAAAAAAAATACTGAAAACCTTAGTCAACATACCCGGTCCCAGGACGAGATTCGAACCCGGGAGTTTCCGGATACAAGAAACTAGTGTCAGAAACACCTGACACTGTTCCCGTTACTGATAACGTGATGATATCCTCGCTCCTGAAGTTCCGAGGCAAACAAACAAAAGTACGCTGTTTCCGGTGTTAATTATAGGCTAGAGGAGCGTACTTTAGGTTAAACATTTCCGGTTCAGATCTAACTCAGCACAACGCTCGTTACCAGGGACACACACAGACAGAAGGACGCGCTGATTTCTCCCGAAAACAGTCGAGTCATTACAGCACAATACGGTCTGTCAGGCATCAGCCCCGTTGAAATGCAACGGGCATGCATCGAACTTCGTTCACTTCTGCTGAATTCCTCGCCATTCTTCCGACTTGGAACGAATCTGTGGTGCTACGTACTGTGTTATTTCAACGTGTTAAAAATAATTTCTAAAAGCTGCCTAATGGTAGCAACAGTTGCAGAATACAAAATTCTTCTGTCTAGCTTCGTTAACGAGAACTTTCAGGCAGTCTGTGCGCTTTTCGTTTCTCTTCTGTTACTTTCCTCTGAAAGGTCCAGATATTCCTCAGTATCACGTGAAACATCAACAGTTTTTCGTTTAAGGAAGGCCGAATGCCAATTTTATCACCCAAACAAAGCATCAGGTAAAATTTATGTTTTTTTAAATCTTATCGCGTCACAAAAGTACAAGCTATGTCACAGAACAACAGACTAGTCGGTACAATTGTAAGAGATTAATTATTTAACCAGCTCGAGGTCCAAACATTCCACCCCTGGAGAACAACAATGAAATACGTGACCGGAGAAAAGCATAAACCAAACACGATTATTAGTCAATTGAATAAAAATTTTCTTGGATATTATCCATTGTCTAGAAATATAAAACGTAAAACTACGTTTCGGAGATGGGACTCTATCTCCGTCTTCAGGTTCCTACACAGTTGGGCCCACTAGATAGAGCTAATCCCTATCTCCGAAACGTCGTTTTACGTTTTATATTTCTAGACGATGGATAATATCCAAGAAAATTTTTATTCAATTGACTCTTCATCATCGTCAAGAAGTTTTAGATTTGATATACGATTATTAGTACCATCGAAAACTCAGCTCTTAAAGAATTGTCGTAGACTAACTCAAATTATCGGATGGTTATTCGGTATAGCAAAAAGTTGCATTTACAAAAATTATCTACGAGTTGAGGTACATTTTTTTTACAATGTTGTCCCAACCACTACCGTTGTTTAGTTAGGAATATTCTCAAAAATGTGTCCTCCTGTTCCTGCAGATTAATGTTCCGTTGTAAAACTAAACCCCTTGGATGAATTCCAGACAAAAGATCAAAGTCAAAGATGCTTTGAGGTAACAAAAAAGAGTCTGGAGGTCACAAGGACAAATTTTTAGTCCATTTCATAACTCCGGCTCGAAGGTAAGCACAAACACGCTAAACAAACATAAAGACTTAAACAATACTTCATTTCGTTACGTTAATGGCGTTCAGAATGCACTGGGACCCCCTTTGAGTTGGTGTGTGTACGTCTTGACTTGTATCACGTGACAGTTCCCTCCACTTGAGACACCAAATTGGAATTCGAAGCGAAAGAATGGCATCCTTCCATACCGACGCAACTAGAGTCACAGATAAGAAATGTCTGTGGGCGTATAGCTGAGGGTCCCTTCTGTTAACGAAGAACACAGACGAAGTGTCTGAAAATAGAGCTTTGAGGAGAACCTGAAGGAGAAGTAACAAGAAAACGAAGAAATTTTGATCAGGAAATCCGTATCTGTACACTTCACATTATATAACGATCAAATCATGGGGTATGCAATGGGCGGAACGTATAGCACGCATTGAGCCATGAAAAATGCATAGGGACCTAACCTCCAACTCCGGCGAGAAAAGGCAAACACAAGATTTCACTTGTAAGATTTATATAGGATATTATTAAAATGGTTTACGAAGATATGGGATTCAAAGTTAATGGGATGGATTAAACTGGCTCAGTTCACGGCCCGTTAACAGACTCTTGTGAACACGGAATTGGATAAATTAAAGAACGCGAAATACAAATAACATTACGATAAAATATGTGTTGAAGAACTGATAAAGAACGCGAAATACAAATAACATTACAACGATAAAATATGTGTTGAAGCCCTGAAATGCGTGTTGGGTTCCGTTAAACTGTTTCCGTTCACTAAAGACGATATATTTTATTAATTTTCACTCCATTTCCTTATCATCTAGCCATTTACAGTGAATCAGGTTTCCGCCAATTCACACGCCGTTTCATATCGTCACAGGTGACAAAAACAGCAACTGTCAATTCCAAAGTTTCCGGCCGGAACTGCACGACTCACCGCCAAGCGCTGCAAGGATTTCCCCGCGCGAGACAAGTATCACGCCATAACAACATAACAAAAAATCAACTTACTGACGTAGCAGTTCTACTGGGAAGTACCAGTTGCGTTAAACCATACCAATTCAACGTTACACTTCGGGCGTTTGACGTAATGCATACGTAATTTTCCATTTCATCTTCGCTTTTCCTTGTTACCTCGACTCCGTTTCAGGTTCCGACCCCTTTTCCAGAAACGGAAATGCACTGTGAGTGTAGTCGGGACGAATCTACACGTTCGACGGCCTCAGTAAAGATTACTTTACTTTCCATCGGCACCACTGCGTTTGGTTTGCACAGTGCGTCTAATTTCCTTCGACCCACAAGCTAGTGACGTGTGCAAAGCGCACAGATTGGTCCCGGGTAAAGAACAGTCAGCAGCCAGACCCGAGGTGTGCGCGTGCCTAGTCCTCGCTGCTTCTAACAGCTTTCCAGTTGCGTCAAAAGTTCGCGATATTTCTGTAAATGTCTGTGCAATAAATAGAAAGGTCTAGAATAACGCCAAATGTTCTCGGCCCTTCCCCACACTTCGTTCGTCCAATAACAGCAAGCGACTTGGTTGCAGACAACCAATCGCGAGGCGATTTACGGTTCAAGCTGCGCAGAAGGAATGCGCAGTGTGTGAAATTAGTCAGAAGCAGAACTTTTGACTTCAAATTGGGTGTGAAGAGAGAAATACCAGCGTAGGAACGAATAAAACCAATACGAAATCACATTCTCGTAATTATCGTGGAAAATTAAACGGCAATTATCGTCAAAGTGCTGAAGCCTGGGGGAAAAAAGTCCTCACTTACCTTCTTATTGGATTTGAAAACGTTACACTTGAAGACATTGCTGGCGCCATCCCGTGCGATGTAGCTGAAGATCTTCAGGTCTTGGGAGTCGTGCGACACGTAGAATATCCTGTTGAGAACAAAAGCAAAGCGTCAGCCGTGCAGATAAACAGTCCAGCACTAGTTTTAGTATCTCAGAATGGAACGAGGGCGAAATTAGCCCAATCGCGAATCTGGAGTCCCGCTGAGGAGGCTTTGAAGCGTTTGAGAGGGAAATAAGGCACTGTTTGATGACAGGCGCAAGAAGGAGGAAGGATAAGGAAGAAGCAGAGAGGAAAAAGAGGCAATTAGAAGTGTTCGAATAAAAATTGTTTTGGAGGGAAATTCAAAAAGGAGATACAGCCTGCCGATGTAGAGGCAGAGCACGGCGTAACAACCCAGAAGACAGCCATCTTCGTACTCACCGTAGTGAGAACCTCAAACCCTAAAGACATAATTAGGTTACGCAAGCGTAAAACAGATAACCATTAAAAAAGTTTAAATATGGATAAATATAGTAAAAATAATTCAAGAAGTTTGCAAATGAGATTGCGTTATGTAATTGAAAAATATAGATAAAAGAGTTAATATAAAAAAACATACTTAAAAAAGCAAAGAGAAGTCCACAGAAATTACATACAAAGAACAGAAGCGGAAAGTAAGTTTAAAAGTAAAGGAAACATTGTTAACAGAGAACTAAATGAGTCTCCTTAATAATCAGGGGCGAAATCCATGCGACGCACAGGGCAACAGAAATTACATACAAAGAACAGAAGCACAAAGTAAGTTTAAAAGTAAAGGAAACATTGTCAACAGAGAACTAAATGAGTCTCCTCAATAATCAGGGGCGAAATCCATGCGACTCACAGGGCAGACAGCTTGGTTACGAAATTATAAAAACTTTAAACACAACGGAAGAGCATAGAAGCACGAATAACATTAAAATTTAAGACTGGATAAACTATAAACACCTAGAATACTCCGAGCTTGAGCTACGTCTCAGTAAGAGTGGAAGAGATGATGTAAAGGCAAAGAGTCTGTCTGAGCATGCGCACTGCAGTCTTCATGTAAAAAGGAGAAAGATATAAACCCTAGCTGTTGGGGCCCCAGGCCCTCAGACCTCAAGACTGACCTCGTCTTTTTATCTTAAGACTGAGGAAGATCGAATTTCAAAAACGTTCTAATTTCACTGAAATATATTAACAGATTAAAGAATAAAGAGACTTGTTTAAAATTCTGTCGCTCATTTTATCTCCGCTTCTCCGTCTTCGGCCTGGTTGCTAAGGAAGATCGAATTTCAAAAACGTTCTAATTTCACTGAAATATATTAACAGATTAAAGAATAAAGAGACTTGTTTAAAATTCTGTCGCTCATTTTATCTCCGCTTCTCCGTCTTCGGCCTGGTTGCTAAGTTACCATAACAGCAAAAGGCTACTTTATCCGGTTCTGTCTTGTTGCCTCGTGTTTAACGCACGAACATTCGATATTGACGTTCATCGCTGTCGCTAAACTGTAAAATATAATCTGACAAACAGCTTAAAAAATTTGCGCTCGCCGTTCCACGAGCTGAGAGAGAGAGAGAGACGGAGAGAGAGAGACGTCAGTTTCAGACATCGCGTTTCGTACCCGGCGGACATTACGACTGAAATGGCGTCATCTCATAAACAAACGGAAGTAGCCATAAACACGTCAGCGTAGCCACTTTCAGGACGCGTTTAAGTGGGTAATACACAGCGTCAAATACAGCCAGCCTCGTTTACGCATGTTGCAAGTAATAACATTTTGAGGGCTTTAATACCAAAGATTTAGTAGATAATAGACCAGTCATGAGAACATCAAAGGCAAAGAAATGACCAGAAAGATTGCTTTTGC